GGCCCACAGTCCGGCAGATTTTAAACTAGACAAACAAAATTCTGTACTTTCTCATCCAGTGAAGATATTTAAATGATATTTAAGGAAACTTTCATTTTAATAACTCCACTTATTCAAAAATATCGCATTTTGATCTGCTAATTATAATTCTGTCCCACTATGCAGCGCTTCCAAAGATTCACTTATGCATTTTAGCCCAATGTGTTACCCTATAACAACTGAGAGTTCAAAAAACCAACTTAAATCTTTGGAAACGTCTGAAATGCTAATTAAAATGAGCTACTAGAGATGAGAAGATTATTTAAAAAGTAAGCCCCTAACATAGTCAATCGATTCCGCTCATCCCTTGGGTAGTAACAAAACAGATGTAGGAGATGTAGGAATATGAGATTCAATACCTAGGCATGGTTCTCTAAGACTGGCATCTTTACGACGTATCTCAATAAGATTGCTGAATTTTTTCTTAATAGAACACAGGTAACTTCAATACAATTGACTGCATATCATTCCTCAAGTTTCAAGAAAATATGATTATAACAAGTTTATAGAATTGCAATTATATGCTTTTGTACTACAAATTAATGCAGTGCTACTAACTTTATTAATATTATAATAATCAAACTCATATATTTTAAATGTTCTTCTCTTATACACAACTCTTTCTCATATTAAATTTTTAAATCATTAAAATGCTTATATGCAGCACTATTTTAATTTGTCATAACACTCATATATTAAATATACCTAGAAATATGTTTTTGGTGTTAATTACTAGTTGTTGATAACTCTGACTCTCTTGACAATATTAATTGAACTCAAATGTAGTTGATAATTACCATATATTGTGAGAACTATTTACGCTCTGAGAACTTTATTTATGACAACTATTTATGTGTACAATTTCAGAGTTTTTTTATAAATTTTTTTTTTGATCAATTGAGCAAATCAGAGATAAAATCAAAATTAAATTAATAAATAAAATTTATAAAATTAAATTAATTAAAAATTAACAAATTTATAAACAAATGTGAATGTTCGACAAGACTTAACAATTTTTCAAAGTCAAAATTAGAACTCAAGTCAATATATCGGGTGTTTCTTTAGCGGCATGAGAACTATCGTTATCGATAACTATGGTTTGACAGCTGAGAACACGGTTGCCACTTGAAAATTTTTTCCTGTACCAAAATTGGTTTACAAAGGTACCATTTCTGTAAAAACAGGTTCAAAATTTTTTTGGACCCTTTTGTTTTTTCGTTCTGTGTTTTTCATAGTGTTATATATGAATAAAATATAAAATAGTGCAAAGTTGCATTTATAAAAAAAATTAGTTGGAAATATCCACAATAAAGTTGGGTCGTCAAAAATGTACCATTTTTTGAACATGAGTACCAAACGAAAAAAAAAGTACCAATTTTGGTACTAAAGTACCATAAGTGGCAACCGTGGCTGAGAATGCCAAACTGTGTTGACATTTCTATTCACTAAGATTTCGAAATCTGTCATGAATTGTTTAACGTTAAAATAGAATTGTGAAAATTTACTTTAAAAAAATAAAAAAAAAAATTCTTCATATCGAAGAATTGTGTTTTATGATGAACCTCATTTCTGGTTAAATGGCTACGTCAATAAGCAAAAGTGTTATATAGAAGATAACCCTCAAGCCATTAACTAATCATCATGACATCCAGTAAAATTGAGTATTTGGTGCGGTTTACACGCTGGCGGTATTATTGGTTCTTATTTCTTCCGAATTGCGGAAGGAGCTGTTGTGATTGGTAAGCACTATCGTACCATACTAACTACATTTTTGTTTCCAAAAATTAATTAGTTAAACAGCGACGACATTTGAATATTTGGTACCAACAGGACAGCAAAACTTGCCCATACTTGCACTTAACAATCGATTTAATGTGATATCAATTTGGGAACAACTTTATTTCTAGAAGTGATCCTGTTAACTGGGCCCCTCATTCGTGCTATGTAGCACCTTTTGATTGCTTTTTAAGTGGCTATGTTAAGTGCTTAGTTTATGCCAACAAACCAGCAACTTTTAAAGCATTGGAAGCCAATGTTCATGCTATCATTGATGCCATACGGCCACATTTATTGCGAGAAATAGTCAAAAATTGGACGGATCGAATGCATGGCGGATATGCACTGGAAATCATAATTAAAAAATTAAATAAATAAATGTCATTCCAATAATATTTCTGTCTTGTATTACACTTTTAAATTCTCATGCATCTAAAAATATACGGATATTTAGGTAGAATAACTAATATAATTTCTTCCTTATTCCATATGACTCCTTCATATGAAGTAAATATAAAGTAAATAATTTTAATTATAATTTGTATAAAAATACAATATTTGGAATATTTAGATATTTCAAACACTACATAATAAATGTTAAAATTTTGGTTATAACTTCCAGCGGTTTTAATTTTAATTACATATATAGCAATCGTTTAATGAACAAATTGCCAAAGGCGGTCCCATGCGGAACTGTAACCCACACATTTCGTTCTAGATAATTGCACCCAAAATAGACTAATAATTAAATAATCAAGAAAACTTGTGATAAACGAAAATACTTTACACCCCCGAATTTAATATTAAAATTGAGGCAATTATGGTATAGTGGAAATTAAGGCGTTTGTGTTAATTGTGAAGAAATTATAATTTCCTTAACTTGAAAGTGAAACATTCAAGGCGAACCTTGGTAGTGGTACATTACTAACCATGAATCGTCCTTGGAACTTATACCGCACACTGTAAAGAACAGCAAAAATTAATATTTTTATATATAGACGATTGAATTAACACGAATTTTTAATTATATTTTAACTCCCAGTTGACCACTTTGAAAAAATTTTAATTTAGTTTATATTTTTAACTCCGAAAAGTGTTTGCTCAGAGCTTAGAAAAAAAACAAAAATAATTTAATTAAAATCCACTTTCGAGTCCATCGAGAATAAAAAGCACTACAATGTCTCTAACTTGAATACTAAAATGATTTTCTGTGCATTGTTTTTTGCAAGTGTTTTGCCAATAGTTTTAGTCCTCATTTACGAGGACGAGTAAGAGTACGAGTTACTCCTGGCAATAGTTGCAAATACTTTTCTACTCCTAATTGTTGTTGCTGCTGATGTTGTTGTTGTTGTTGTACTGATGACTTTATAGGTACGTACCTGCCTGAAGGATATCAGTTCCATTGTGTGCCATTAAATTTCATTTCACCAACAATGGCTGGGAAAATACGTAGTACGTTTTGGTTCGAAGCGAATTTACCTTGATTGCATTTCGTTAGACTCCTGGGTGGGCAGAAGGTTGTGTATTATTACACTCAACAAAAAGCAAAGGGAAATTATTTGTTTATACTTACAGAAAATAACAAAATTATTTCTATATTAAATTAAAAACAAAAAATAATAATTTTATACTAGAGAAAAACTATTCTACACAAGGTTTCACAGAGTTTACTTTTTCCTATTATAACTTAAAAAATTTTTTTTCAGTGTATGAATTGTCAGTTCTGTTGTCCGAGCCTAATGTTATTTGGCAGTCAATCATATTTCTCTAACGAAAGTTGTTATTAGGACGAGGAAAGGTTTGGGAGAAAGTTCAAAACTTTCAATTAATAGGTCGCAGCAGACATTGCTTGAGGAAATTCACTTGTTGATAAATGGAATGTGTAGCTAAGGAAGTTGACAAACTTGGTTTGTTCCATTTGTCGCATCAATTCTGAAATAAAATTTTTTTTTATTTTATCTTGAAAACTATTGTACTTGATAAGAAATATCCTTCAAGTATAAAACTTTCAAAATGGTCATTGAGTTGTAGCTAATCGAAATTTTTTCACTGAAAATGTTTTTCAGTTTTTAGTTTACATTTAACAAATATATATCTATATAATATATTATAAATATAAGAATAATATATATAATATAGTATTTATATTGTATTTATAATACATATAACAATATTAATGGTATATTGTAATAAATTTCAATATTTGCATGTTCCTGGTGCTGTTAACTGGATCTTCAACTTTTGCTTATTTGAAAGTAAATGCATAATCTAAATTTCTGATTAAACTTTGTCTATAGGATTAAGTTTTTATCGTGATTGATATAACACTATGTGATATTTTCATTCTATGATTTGTGTACTTGATTTAATGATTTAAAAATTTTTTAGAATTACATGATTTAATTTAATTATTAAAACAATTAAAAAAATGGTGTTCTGTGAACTTATTGAACAATCTAGTTTATAATTTTCTACATATTATTTTATTGATTATTCAAATTCATTTAAAAATTAAAGTTATGTTATGTTTTCACTATAGCTAAAACTAATTATGTTAATGAAATTAAGATTTGGTCGTTTCCATTGGCATAAGCTGATTTATGCATGTGAAGTAGCTTCTTTTACATTTTACACATAAAACATAAGAAAAATGTTTGAAATTCTAATCATTTTCCTGGTGGGAAATTTATTTTTAATTGTTGCATTCTACATTTTTCGCTTTAAATCAGTTGATTTATTTATAATGAGCTTATTTGCTTATTGAAAGTTCTTTGCATAATGATTTATCCTCATTAACAGCCTTAATGAGCAAAAGTGCTTTAATAAGACAAGTGAAAACATTTTATTAGACTTAATTAACTTTGTATATTTACATAAAATAATCAAATAATAGAAAAAAATTATATATTAAATTTTAATTTTCTTTCTTTGCAGTTTTACACATAAAAGATGCACGTGTGCCACATTGAACTTGTTTTTGCTTCCAAATGACATTTGCTGAATTTTGCTTAACAGCAACAACAACAACAACACCAAATTTTTTCATTTTGAATATAAATTTTTATTACTAATATTATTTGTGCTCAACAATAATTTGCTGCTAAATATATAATAAAGCAAAGTAGAAGAAGAAGAAGAAGAAGAGAATTAGTGAGCTGCAATCAAGCGCCAAGTCTTAATGTAAAATGTTGCACTCCTCTAAGCAGGAGCAAAAACAGCATGCAACGAGCACAGCCAGACCAACAGCAAGCAATACTACAAGTAGCAACATTAACGCAACTAACAGCAACAATTTCACCAACAACAATTACCAAACAATCGATATTCGCACATTGGCAGCTACAGCGGCACAATTAGAGACAAGTAATGGCCAACGCCGTGGTGGCGTTAATAAAAGTGCCAGAAGCAGCGTCGATCCAGAGCTTGGCCTCGCTGCAACAGCCACACCAGCAACAGCAACACCAGCAACAATTGCAACTAAAGCAAACACAGCAACCAGCAGTGGCGGTCATACAACAACACGAACAAGGCTAAAGGACACAACTGACACAATAACAAAAATGCATTCCAACGAAGATCCAACAGCGGTAATTGTCAATATTGGCAGTAGTGAGAAGAGTAGTGGCGGTCTAAGTGATGAAAGTAATAAGTTACGACGTATTGGTAGCAGCAGTAGTCGAGCGGGCAGAAGAAGTAGCCAAAAAACAAGAAAAACAAGTTCCTCAAGTGCCAAAAGTGGTGGTAATGTAGTTTCTGGAAGTAGTGGCGTTACAAAAAATCCTACTAGTAATAAATTAAGTGTTGCCAACACTGGCACAGGCAGCAGTAACAGCAGCAACAGTAAACTACAGCGACAAGCCAGTGAGCAATCTACAACACGTCATAGACGTCAACATTCGACTGCCTCGTCAACGGATCGAACTGAAACAAAACGTCGTCAGCAGACACCACCCGCTAATACAAAAGCAAGTACCGATAATACCAACACCACAAGGTACAGTAGTCAATCCAGATCGCGTTCACAATCACAACAGCGCAGTGACGATGAACATCGTGGAACTGAGGCTAAGCAACGTCGAAGACGAACTCGACGTTTGAGTGCTACGTCTTCGGGAAGTGGTGATTCTAGCTCATCTACTGCATCCAGTTGTAATGGTTCCTGTAGCTCAGATGATGGCGAATCAAATAGCTCCACTTCCTCGGGTGAACCAAATTTACTATATCCTGGTTTTCCAGAGATTAGTCTAAGATATCTGACGCAAGAAACGCGACCGCGTAGTTGGTGCTTGAAACTCATCACGAATCCATATCCTTTTTAAACATTATTAACGATTTTATTAATTTTTTTATCTGTACGTGTGCGGTAAGTAAGCAATTTAAATGGACAAAGCAAATTATTATAATTTTTTACTTTATTTACTAAATTTTCATAAAATTTTAAACACACAAATCACTTTAGGCAATTAATCAGAATCCATGGTCAATACTCATGTCCAATTTGGATCACAGAAGTACTGTGAGAAATGCATTGCTAAAAAGACTTTTACTTTCATTTTTGTCCTTCAAATGTCAACATTTGGATAAGGCAATTTTCTGTCTTTTTGCGTTAAATCCATTGAATTGACGACAGGAACACAAAAGCAAGCAAATAATGAGGAGGAAACCATAGAAAATCGTAAATGTCAATCGCAGACTGGCGTTTGTAAGAAAATAAGTCTGTCAAGCAATTTTTTTCAAATTAAAACAAATAAAATTAAAAAATTTAATACATTTTCCATAAACTTAACAAACAAATGTTAAAGTGCAAAGGTCACTGCCATATAAGATATTATTCGTTTCTTTATAAAAGGAACCAAATAATAAAATAATAATTTAAATGATATTAAAAAATTCTTCTAAGGGTCATGATATACCTACAGACGTCATATGATGAATAGTCAGAACAATTTTACACTCTTTTTATAATAATATATTATATATAATAATAATATATAATAATAATATAATAATAATATTATAATAATATATTAATAACAAGTAATATTTTTTTTATGAATATGTGCGCATATTTTTAATAATTTAATTCTTATACTCCTACCATAGAAGGCTCTTAAAAGGCTCTTTATGGGTCATATTTTGACATTTATTACTAAACAACATTGTTTTGATCAACATGTTGAGAAAAAGAAAGCCTCCTAACCGGTAGGATAACATAATCAAAATTTCTCGCTTTCTCTTATTCTCAATTTTTTAATTCACATAGAAATTAACAACGCTCATATTTTACGTGAATATGACTATCCGTATAACATGGCTCCAACGAATTAAGTGTAACATATATTATTACCCTTTTAAGTTATTAACCTTTTAAGTTTGCTATGGTGGTGAGCTCATATATATGCCTGATTTTTACTGTTGTCATTGCCAGTCATATAAAAGGTATATTAGTTGTTCAGAACACTCTCGTTCTTTATTATGAGACTTGCAATTAATGTTTGACATCTTTCATTGTAGAAGGAGATATTTTACTCTCTTAATAGAGTTATTATATTTTATTCTTCTCTAAATTCTTTTATAAGTTTTGATGTTAAAAGACCGTTGAGGATCTCCTAATGTCAGAATGGGAGAGTAGAAGAGCAGGTTAATTCAGTGACCTCCTTCTGATCCAAATCATGGTTGGGCAGTCACAGAGATTTTAACTGGACTCATAATAAATTTTGTTAGTCCTAGTTATTTACAAAGAACTCTTCAGTTGTTGCTTTTTCCTCTTCTTCTCTACAGATACTGTAATTCTGCTTAAGGAAGATTGCTATAGATATCCAATTCACCTCTTTGGTTTTGAATACATTATAGTTAAATAGTCTACTATTGCCAAATGAAGAAAAGGCTTTGTTTTCTGTGCCTAACCTATCATTTTTCTATGATAAAAATGTGATCTAAAACACATTAAACCCTTAAGTATTGTTATGTCGCTTATAAAAATGATACCTTTCATTTTCAGTTCATATTATAACTGACTTTATTAATAACTAAAAAATTAGTAAACTTTATTAATTAGCAAAAACTATAAGTTACCTAAAGGCTTATTTACTAATATATTATTATTATTGTTAAGAGATGTGGCACTGCGACCGTTGGGTCTATTGTGCGGTCTTCTGGGCTTAGAATAGGTCTTTAAGGCTTGTTGCATCAATAAAAAGTAGTAAGGAATCTACTCTACAGAGTTTTATTGCCTCTTTCGTAAGAATATACATTCCTAGGAGCATATTTCGTATGTGCATTAGCGCAGGGCATTCTAACAACACATGTGTGGCCGACTTCTCATTCTCTTCATAGAATCTACAGTTTGCATCCATAAGTACACACAGTTTTGTGAGGTGTTGTTTTAGTCTACAATGCCCTGTTAGAATTCCTGTTATGATTCCAAGTTTTCTTTTGATAGGTTCATATAATTCCGGTATCTCTTGTTGTTATAGTTACCAATAAGTGATTTGGATTATTTTAATCCTGGTATATTATCCCAGTAGTCCTTTTTATTCTGGTTCTCCTTTATTTTTATGAGAGTACTAATGTATTGTATAAAAGATAAAAGCTTATAATTAAAGACTTATTTATAACAGAGTATAACTAGTATTTTTTTACTAGTTATAACTAGATTATAAATCCTAAGCCAAATTACTATTTTGAAAAGACAATAAAAACTATTTATTTATTAAGATAGTAATTACTGCGAATGTTTTTTTTAACTTTTTTGTTATTTTTCTGATCCTAATAGTAAACCAGTAATTAGAAAAGAAAACTTTTAATAAATTGTTATTATCCTTCACAATATGTCACACAAGAGCATAAGTCCTCATGTTTTTGCTGAGCTTAATTCCAAGTATCAACTCAACTTCATCCGCAAATCATTCCACATATTTATCAACTTTAATGTGAATTACTGAAAAATTTCTTTATTGCAGTTGATAATTAAACATAAAAAATTACAACTACAAAACTTATTATCACATAAATTTCACTTCAAAAGAAATATTTCATTTCAGTTTTTTATTGTTTGGAATCTGCCTTCGAACAATTAAAAATTATTTAATGTAAATTATGTGCAAGGAAAACACTTCCAACAAATTGTCGCATACAATTTGCAAATTAAAAGTTAAGCTCCTTTTTTGTGAGCATCGGCAACGACAGCGGCAACAACAAAACAAGCAATTCCTGCAATTGCTACAGTTGCAGTTGCAACGTTTGCGACGTTTGCGAGGATTGCGACAGCTGCTAAAGAGTAAAAAGATTAGTGCAGCTTAAGCGTTGCTCATTAGCAGTTTTGTATGGTTGGCTTCAGGTTGGTTTCCGTTTGCCTCCTCAAGTGTGAGTCTACATGTGGTAAATTTGTAGTTTATTTGCGTGAACAACAACAAAATAAGACTGAAAAAGGACTCGCGCTGCTCCTGCGAAGTAATTAAACAGTGTGAAATACAAAAACTTTATACAAACTAAAAAACTCTGCAAAAATTAATTATTTTAATTTTTTATGCTTTTCACTCCATGAATTTCTTGCAGTGCAACAATGCATTCATCTATGGTTAAAGCATATAACTACAAAAAAAGTGTATCTTATCTCTTAATGATTTTTTTGTGGTGATTATAAGAGAATATTGCAAAATTAATGGTAAATTTATAATTTAATTACTTAAATAGAGGTTATAGTCCCCAAACTATATCACTTCCTTAATGAAAATCCAGCATATTAACTTAAAAGGTTAATGTTGTATATTATAATTCAGAGTGAGTTGAAAATAAATAAACAGTTTAATATTTATATATTTTTTATAATACAGTCAAACTTCCATAACTCGAAGTCCAATTTTGCAAAGAAAAGGTTAGACTTATAGAGACTTCGAGTTAGAGAATTTTTTTATTTTTTTTTTGTTTTTTTATTTTTCGAAAGAAACTAGAATTACATTTTAAGATATATATTTATTTGCAATAAAATAAAGCACAAAAGTTATAGTGAAGTAAAATATTCAGAAAATAGGGTTTTTAATTTTTCTTATTTTCAATAAAAAGAGATTCCACTTTATTCATACTCTTATAGTGATCATCAGTTGTAGTATCATTCCTTTGCAAATATAAACTCGGAATTTTGTATAAGTCTTCTACTTCATTCTTGGAAGGCTGATAAACAATTACATTCACCGAACCTTTCTACCGAACCATCACTTTCCGTTGCGCTTAGAATTGGATCCAGTAATTTAGAGCTATAGTGCTCAATAATATCGTTATCTATAGAAAAGCTTGATGTACAAATTTCATTGTCAAACTCAATATAATCATTAAAAGAAGCATTGAAAGTTATTTTATTTACTATAAACCATGCTGCCAGCACTGGCATTTGCACAAAAAAGCAACTTAAGAAAGAAAAAATTAAACATTTGGTTTGGAAAAAGGGACTTCCCCTAACAGCAAAATTGATTCTTCGTTCACTGCATTTAGTTACATACCTCTGGTTTCAGAGCATACAAAGTTATATTTCAAGCCAGTTTTTTGAAAATAGATATTTCAATATAAATACATAATCGTGTCAATATTTCACTTGTTTTAGATATTTTTACTTTTTAACATTGTTACTTGTTGAATTATTGTTTTTTATTGAGACTAACTCTGAGCTGCTAATTTGACTGAGTACGAAGTCAATACTTGATACTTGCAGTCTAAACAATTATTTACGAATAATGAAATGTAAGAAATAATTTTAAGACCACTGATGATGAGTATTTGGCAATACTCGAAACAGCAGTATGATCAGCCAAAAATTCATTCATTAAAATTAAAAAAAATTTTTGTTGTTGCAATTCACTATTGTTCGTTAGAATTCTCTCTATTGAAAACAATAATTTATAGTAATAATTTAGTTTCTTTCGTCAAAATGAATATTAGAAATCAATTTCTTATTTATTTTAAATTTTGAAGTCATAAACTGAAATAACAATAAATCAAAATAATATATCTGAATACAAATGGATGTCTTTTAACAATATATCTACAAAGACAAATTGCACGAAACTGCACATGAGACACAAATGGCCATTTAAAAGTAACTATACTTTTACTTTTCATATTAAAAACTATCGTAAGGACATTTTCAGTTTAATTATGACTACGGCTTTTTCTCGTTTGCTACTAAAATTAATAGTAAAGGAGGAAATGGAAAATATTGTATGGTAACGTAACGTAACGTAACGTAACGTAAAAACTCGCGCCGCAAGTTGGATTAACTTTTGTTGTTGCATTAAAAGGTTTTTTATGGTTCCAGTTTTACTGC